AATACTCGGAAAAACAAACCAAAACCTTGTATCCAGGAAGTGACGTTCCCGTGCTTCCGCCTGGCAGTCTTCGTTATCGCATCTGATGCCGCTGCCGGCGACCAATCCTCCACGTCGATACTATCTCCGGACACACCGTCAACGCTTCACCTCCGTCCGCCTCATCTGCTGCGGCTACCTCAGAGAGAGAGAGAGTCGGGGCTCGGTTTCTTTTTGGTTTTTTCGGGGGGGAGGAAGAGTAGCTCTCAGCTCAAACTTTTTTTACTAACCAATTGTTAGTTTTTCTTTGAGACACATCCAACGGAAACGGGTTACGTCGTCCTCGGGGGGCGAGAATGTCCGATTTCGACAGCAACCCGTTCGCGGACCCGGAGTTCAGCAACCCGTTTCAGGTAACGTTAGCTCGCCGCGTTAGCCACGTTAGCGTTAGCTCCTGCTTTGTTTCGCATTAAAAACAGTAGTTAGTGTTATTAAGACACTGCTTTCTGGGTTAAACAGCTAAGAATAAAAGCTGCTCGAGTTTAATTACAGTAACAGCAGCTGGCAGAATACGTTAATTCACTTGTTGGGAGGTTTTGGTTAGCCTTCCTGGTGATAGTTGGGTTGTATGTAGTTTTATATCATACACAGTGTTGGGATTTAACTCATGATATTGCTTAAATAATATACCTTTACCCCACTTACTCGTTGTGTAACTAATCGTTAATAGATGTAGAAGTTCAAACCTGGATATGTTGGTTTTCCAGTCATGGAAACACCTGGAAATTGGTTAAAATGACCTAAAATCCTGGATGTAATATTTGTTTCCTGGACATTTCTTTATTGTATTTTATCTCCTCACTCAGATCACCTGTGTTAGAGGTAAAGTGTGGTCCAATCAAAGCTCCTTACCTGTAATAACCCTGCATCACTTCACCATGAACCCTTAAAACCATTAAAAAAAGAGGAATAAATCTGTAAATGTGAAGCAGATGCTAATTATATGACTTGTTTGTGAGCAAGAGTTGTCCTGTATTGTCAAGAAACTCCTGGAAAACAATTTCTGATCACATTCTTTGATTAACTTTTGTTATCAGGGAGGAAAACTAGCTTGGAAGATGGAAACATTCCCATTACTTTGGTTTTTAACAATAAAAAAACTGGATTTTAAACATCGTAAAGTCTGAATATTGGGGAGACACAATTACCAAGTATGTTGCAGAAAAGTAATATAATAAGTGAAGTAATAACACCACTTTTAAAAAGAATAATGGGAAATAATTAGCATTTTATGGGGGGATTTAACTGTACACCTGTGTGACTTCCTTTCCTTTACAGACCTTTATAGGGAACATGCACATTTATTGTGTAGTAGATGAACTAAACTGCTTTTTAAATGTTCCTGTTTTCATGTTCGATTTCCCATCCTGACTTAAGTGCCGTTACAGATGCATTAAATGGACTTTCTATCCCAAACCACAGATGATAATAACTCAACCTGACCTCCAGGATTTGAGGGGATGATTCTCGGATATATATAATCTTTTTAAATAGTCCTTTTAAGTGACTCGCTCTTTAAAAACAGAAGTGAAAGAGAGCAGAACACACGGTGCGGTTGTGCTTGTTGTGGTTTTTTCACTGTCGTGCCTTCATTGTGCTGTTGGCCTTGTGTTAGCAGTGTCCTGTCATGGTGAAAGCATGCATTTGATCATGTGCTCTTCTGCCTCAACACGCCCTGCAGTGGTGTTCCCGTCTGTATCTCATCACATCAGGTGTACTACACACGGGCGCTGTGGCAGCAGCTAATGTGGAGCTGAAAATATCAGTTAATTGTTTAAATAAAAGTTGATATGGCAAAAAGAAATACTCAAATGTGAATATTTGCTGGATGTTTGAGGTCAATATGAGCTCATTGTGGATATATCTGTACCGGGTTTGGCTGATAAATGGCAAGAAATGTAAAATACAGAATCAATATTACAGATATCTTTTGAAACAGTGTCATGTTTCTACTGTTTAATGTCCGGCCCAGTATATTTCTCGGTTGTAGTTGTCCAAAAAAGACACATTTAAGGGAAATCTATCAAATATTTAGTCGTTATCAGTTTATTTTTTACTCTGAAATATCAATATCAGCATCGGCCTCAGAATTCCAGTATAGAGAGACATAATGCAGTGTGTCGTTCTCTTAAAACCACACCCACTAGTGGGGAAAACGATCTGTGCCACAATATCCACAATACATTTTTCCCCATTCTTCCTTCTTCTGAATCTACTTTTGTCTTCTTCAAGGTTCAGTTTTTCAGTTCGGCAGCTCATAACAACTTCATGCAGTACAAGTCAATAGAGAGCAGTGAATTGTTTTCCTCTACGGTGTGGGCAGGACTTTAATGCGCTCTCTCTCTATTGGCTGGGTATAATGTTTTGAGGGATTTGTGAACATTAGCATTATAAAAGCACACTGGTTGTATCCTAGCAATGTATACAAGATGAAAGAGGAAGTACATGGAGGAGGAGGAACCACGTTCACCTTGATATTTATCCATCCATAGCACCATCAGACAGACTGATGAGTACTCAGAAATGAAAATGGCTAACTCAGTAGAACAACATGCAGGGAAAAAGGACACCTAGAATACAGGTATTAACATTCATTTACACACATTTATTATCATATCAGGTACAAAAATGAATGGTTAATGATCAGTCTGTGTATTTCATATACAACAACAAAAGCAGCAGATAAACTTTACCTCATCTCATCTTCCGTTATATATTGAGTTCTATTGAGCAGCTGTGAGCTACAGTAAGTGTGTACATGTTTGTCAGTGTTTGTGCTCAGGCACAGGCGTGTCTCTTTGTGCAGGACAGCTGCCGTGAGGGATGACTTAACAATCATCCATCAGCAAGTTGTTAGTGTATGTGTGTGTGTGTGTTTATGTGGTGTATGAGTCACTCACATCAGCCCAGTCTTTTGTTCCTGTTCTTGCTGCTGGCTGACTGCAGATGTCCCAGCTGTAATTGGCACACATGAAGGAAGCAGGTGGTACAATACAACCCCTATGATGTCCTGCATGGGATAGGGTCTGTGATGTGTGTGTGTGTGTGTGTGCGTGTGCGTGCTACTAGTTTCAGCAGGGCATCATTAAAGAGATGAGTGACAGAGATTGAAGGTGAGAAGAGTGTCTGCCAGGCGCGTCCTCCTCCCCCAAGAGAGATAGAAATTGTGCGTTTGTGTGGTAACCATGTGCCAAATTCAATCCAGAATGAGTGTGAATACTTTGCATGTGATTATTTTTAATATAGGGCCTTTTTACGTTCCCTTCTTCCCTTGAATGCTAATCTTGCCACCAACACACACACACACACACGCCCCCAGATCCCCAGAGAGAGGCATGTGTGTTTGATGCTGTTTGATGTGGCCTGCCTGTTTTAATCTGCTTATAATCACTCGCCCCCCCTGGGTGTATGTGTTTGGATATATATGTGTGTGTGCACCATTGTCCTACAATCCGGGATAATGGCCGTAACTTTAAGAGGATTCTTGCCATATCCTCAAGATTCTCTTCTCATATTTAAAATCCCACAGTTTAAAGTCAGATGTACTGTAGATACAGACACAATCCTTTAAAACTCCCAGTGAAAAAAAACCACTTTTACATCTGACTACTCTGTCAAACCACCAAACAAGTATTTATTATTTGGTATTTCTACAAGGATTAGCTTGGGAGGGAGTCAAGAACACAAAAAATAAGAGCTGAAATGGATTTTTCACCCATGATAGATGTGAACACAATATTATCCTCACCATGGGCATAATTGATTTCCCAATAAAGATTTTCCCATAATCCCCTACTGGGTCTCTGAGCCATTCAGGTTTTGTCATCCTACTTAGCTGTAATTAATACAGGGACCCTGTGTCCAATAGAGGACTGGACTTAGAATACATTTACATTTAATATCTCTTCACATCTGGTAAGAGTTAATTAAGAAGGTTTAGATGTTTGTGTGTTTTTTGGCTTCGGTGAAATGGCCATTTAAATGAGCACATTGGTGTCATAGTTTGACCCAGAAATCCATTACTTATGTTAGGGAGGTTATGGATATAAAGTTGTACATAGATCCAGGCTTTGTCTTAGTGATGGTAAGTTTTTGTTGGTGTGGTTATTTTTATTATCCATTAATCTGTCAATGTATTTTCTTGATTGTTTAATCATCTCGTCTATAAAATATAAAACCATAGTAAAAAAATGTCCATTACAAGTCCTAGAAGTCTACAGGCTGCTTCTTTGAATCCAAAATATTCTGATTATTATCATGAAAACAAAGAACCAGAAAATATGGACATTTAAAAAGCTGTGTTTTTTGGTATTTTGCCTATAACATTACTGAACCCATTAACTTAAATTATTTCAATTGTTTTCAATTTTCCAAATAATACAAAATAAATACATATGTCAAAGGAGCATATTAGCTAGTAAGACCATTGTCTTTCTCTGTTGCCCAGGCCTCTCCTCTGTTCAGTACTGCTGGTGTGTTTTTATCTCACATTTGATCCATTTGCCCATGTTGAGGTTTCTGTCTTTTCTTTGTTTGTGTTTTGCCTTTTACGTTTCTTCTTTTTCTGGGGTGAAACGTGCCCGAGGCGTAGCAATATGCTGATGGCAAACCGATGGAGTGGAGCTTGGCTGACCTTCAAAAGGACATTTCCTTGAAGGCAGCAAGGGGCTATTGTAATTGGGGACAGAAAAATAGCTTAATTAGCTGATAATGATATGATTGCTGCCCGAGAAGAATGATGGCTATTCATCAGCCCCAGTTTGTGAAGGCCCAGTTTTACTACAGTGGCACATCATTTCCTCAAAATGAATGACTTATTGTAGTTGTCTTCTCATTTATGTGAGCACAATATTGTAGTATTTCTTCACTTAATCGGTGCAAAAGTTCACTTGGATGAATGTGTCTTTTGACTTCAGCTCACCCTCCACTGCTCATGCGTTGCCTTGTTTTCTTGTAAACAAATGTTCTTTTAAGGCTGTCGATTGGTGGCTCTGAACCAGCTCCACGCCAATCAGAGGGGCTGAGAATAAAAGCTGTGGTTGGAGGGTGTTTTATTGCTGGCTCAGCTCAGCTGCTGCAGCACTCCCACATACACCACATACCACAGACAGACAGACGGGGCTGGGTCCTAGTCGGGGGTGGGTGTTGCTGAGGGGGGCTGGTCGGTTTGAGGTAGAGTTGGTGGGGATTGGGTGTTTTTGTTTTTTTAAGTATGTCTGCCAACAATATTGTAGCATCATCCAGCTACATTACCCATCCTCTAGAACAGAAACACCCCACTGCAAACCACTTTCACTTTTTACCCTCATGTGCCCACCCACCACAGCAACAACATGCTCTCCATACACATGTAAACATGCCCACATACATAGTCGCGGAGTCTACTCTCACAAACATGCTGACAGTGTACGTCTCATGCACATAGATGCACAAACAAACACTCAGAGAAGCTGTTAGGATGGCAGGAGCCAGAATGGCCCATTTTCTCCCGCTTCTCCCTAATGAGAGCCATAAAGAGCGCGAGGCATCAATATTTCAGCGCTCTCGTCAGGCAGGCTGCAATATTTCCCTTTGATGAGACTCACCAGAGGTGTTTTGTTTTGCCCTGCTGCCACTCCAAATTCAGGAAAGCCAGAAAATTAGACCGACGGGACACTGAAAATCTGGACTGCTGGTAGCTAGAAATAGAATAGAAATGACTTTGAGTGACTCAGCAAAAGTGCTTTTTTTGTTTTCGTTTGTTTCTGTCATTCTGAGCCACCGTGTTTAGCCATGCTAGCCGCTCAAGCTCCATCACCTTTGGCTTTGGACAGAAAAGTGAATTTCTCATCATCACGCTCGATAGAACTATTGCTGCTCTGGTTACAACATCACCTTCATCTTGATGATTTCATTTCGGTTGAAACTCCCAACATTTCAGCTCGCAGTAAGGCAGCAGGATGTTGATGGAGTCGTTCCCTGTGGGTTTGGGTTACATCAGACTGGTACTGCAAACTGAAGTCGGGCAGACGTCTCCAAATGAGCTCTAAACGCCGTCTGTTGTTCCCCCGCTTTGGGAGTGTCCCACTAGGGTCGCTTACTGGGACGGCATGGGCGTCTGCCACTGGAGGCTACTGTTACATTGATAGATACCAGCTGTATCTGCTCACATTTTAACCATTTATTTATACCATCTTTTTAAATATTTCATCAGTGTTTCATTCTCAACAATGGCTATTTTTGCTCTTGCTGAAGAACCGTTGATAAATGTTACTGAATACTGCACATGCCTGAAGCTGTGTTGGGCATCCATGAATGAATTCCAGTGAGATGTGAACACATCTAGAATAATTTAGATGGCAGTTGGAAGTTTGTGAGGAGTTTCCTGCCCAGGGATGTTTTGATGTAACGTAAGGAGGGTTTCAAGCTTCAAAGACTTGCTTCGTTTCATTAGTGCAGAAGTCTCTCACACTCTCGTGTGTGTCTGTGCACTAATAAATGTTAAAGTTTGTGTATGAATGCATGCTTGCTCTTGTGTAAGCGTTTATTATAGATGGAGGGACTCTGTGTGCATGCTTTCAGGTGGACGAGCTGTACGAGGCCTTCTGCATCCAGAGCCGTCTGAGGGACGGTGCCAGTCGGATGAAGCAGGCCTTCTCCTCCTCTCCCTCTACTAAAGGCACCAAGGAGAGCATCGCAGAGGTCAACCGCCGCTACAAGGAATACACTGAGGTACTGGCATAGAGCATCATTTACAGTGTATGGGGAATAGTATATGGGGAGTTTTGCATGAAAACACTTCTTTACCTGATCAAAGGCAGACAGGTAGACTTTTGAGGAGAGAGGAATAAATTAGGTGTTACATTCACATTCACACATCATCTAAAAATATAACAACATGCATTAAACATTGGGTCACACGGGTATTGTTATCTGCTTACACTGTCATCGGTAAACACTGAGGTATATACTCATATAATTAAAGAATGACCTTTAAATCCCAGTTACACACACACACACACCTCTTATCACCTGTCTCATCACCTGTCTCACCAGCTGTCCTGCTTCGTCTGCAGTTTAGTGTTGACTGGCTTTGTCAAAGTCTCTTGAGATAACTTGATTGCTATTGTTGTTCTTGTCTTGCGTGACAAAGGGCTTTTTATGTGATCAGTCGTATGTGTCTCTCCTTCTACAGAACATGAGCACGTTCGAGAGCGAGCTGGAGAACCTGCTCGGGGAATTTCACATCAAAATGAAAGGTGAGATAAGAAAACGTTGTCCAAATGACAAGTAAACTGATTCACATACCGATACTCCTTTCTGAAAGTAAAAGGCATTAATAGATGCCTTTTACTTTCACTAATGTTTACAAGAATGTTTTGGTGATGAGCTGAGATTTAATCATCTTACTGTATTCACTACATTACCTACCTATTCATACCCACACTGTGTTTTCAAGATCATCATTGACCAAGTGGGAAAAAGCCTTATCCTGTCACGGCTTTGATCCTGACAACAAGAAACCCATTATGTGAACTGTAGTGGGAACCTCTTCATTGTAAATCACCCAGCTAAATACTAAAGTCACCTAAAACCAAAAGAGGTTGCTTGCTTTGGCTTTTTTTTTTTTTTTGCTCATATCCTGTCCAAAGGCTTTTTTTTTTAAACCAATTTCCTCTCTCTGACAGGTTTGGCAGGCTTTGCTAGGCTCTGTCCTGGAGACCAGTATGAGGCAAGTACCTTTATATGTTTATGTAACACAGGGCTGTTATCCATGTGTGAAATTGTGCTAAACCATTCAGTTCAGAGATAGAACAGGACAATTTATACTTTTAGTAAACCTACAAGTTGGAGTTTGGTGGTTTCCAGCAGAATGAAATGGTAGAATAAGAAGTATCCCTCTTGCGTCAGGCTTACTTCTTTCTTTTTCTACTCTGCCTTCCATTAGATCTTTATGCGGTACGGTCGCCAGAGGTGGAAGTTGAAGGGAAGGATTGAAGTCAACTCCAGACAGAGTTGGGATGGAGATGAGATGGTCTTCATGCCTCTCATCACTGACCTTATCAACATCAAGGTGCTGTAGAAATCCAGATACATAACTTTGTGCCTAAAATACTGTTTTACTTCAGTAAATTATTCCAAATCAAATGTGCAACTTGTGTGCAAGTTTGTTTTTCATGCACAATATCCTATGACCATATTTGTCAGATTCCTTGGTTCCTTGGTTGATTCTTCATAACAGACATTTTCTCCTGATTTCATCATGCCAGTGCAAACCTCACTATACAGCAGGTCCAACCTTATAAGCTGTAGATTTTGTCTCTGTCTGACTTCAAGAGTGATAATTTACAGAAGAAAACAATTTATCGACAATCATCTGACTTATGTCCTGATGTCAAAAGAACCCGTATTATCGCTTTCTTGACCTGAGTTGTAAACAAAGGTTGTCTGTTGGCCCCAATCAGGTGACGGAACTGAAGGGCCTGGCCACTCACATGCTGGTGGGCAGCGTGATCTGTGAGACCAAGGAGCTGTTTACTGCCATGCCTCAGGTGGTGGCTGTGGACGTTAACGACCTGGGAACCATTAAACTCAACCTGGAGGTCACGTGGTAGTAAGTCGACTCTTTTACATTATTTTTTTGGCCTTCGACAGTCAGTGTAGAAGAGAGACAGAAAACATGGAGAGAAACAAAGGTCCCACGTTCTGAAGTCAAACTGTGGATTTTGCAGTTATGCGTTATGCACAATAAGCATTAGGTTACTGGGGCGCCCCATATAATGAGATTTATAAACAGTTTTCATCACTGCATATAAAAGTAATTGAATTTGCATTTTAATAACCACATTTAATAACCAAATTTTAGGGAAAGTTTCCGAAGATGTTTGTTGATTTGCACATTTACACATTACAGTATAGATGAATTAGATAGACTGACTACTGGGAGGTTAAAATTAGCTGATCATTTTGTTGTTATTTCATGGAGATTCGTCAAAGTCCACTAAAGTTTCAATGAAATTTAGTTAGGGTGAGTATATTCAGTTTTCAGTTTATAAAAGGGATGAAGGGTTTGCAGTGTTTCAGTCAGATATAGCTACAGAGCCTTTCACCGCAATGATTTTATCTCTCAATTGTTCTTGTTATACTTCTTATAGCCATTTGTATTCCTGCACAGTCAGTATCTCAGTCATTGGCTGTGTGTTAAGTTGCCGGTTTGTTATTGGTGTAAATTCGGTCTACATTACTTGTAGCTATCTGCCATCTGGTGGAGAAACATGGTCATTACAAATTATGGAAGTTTACTAACCAAATACAATTAATGAAATCACTTATACAGTATATGAAGGTAGGCATGGATAAAACACAGAGGGCAATCACAGTAAGTGCCTTGTTTTCATTTCCCTATCCAGCCCCTTCGATGTTGAGGACCTGACTCTGTCGTCTGGCAACGTGAGCAAAGCTACAGCGCTCCAGAGACGAGTGTCAGTCTACAGCCAGGGCACGCCGGAGACCCCCACCTTCCAGGACACCTCCTTCTTTGTGAGTGCAACACACAAACCTGCTTTAGCTTTACTGGTGTGATGGAAGACTCTCCCCCAAAATCAATTTAGATCACCACCTAGGCTGGAAGAGAAAATCCAATCTTTTTTTAGGCTTTAACTGAGTGAATTGAGGTGAAAGAGATGACATTTTGTGTACCTCCGTTGTCCCTGCACACTAACCTGAGTCTGTGCCCTACAATTAGATATTGTATAATGGCACACATTTTTCCTGTTGATGCATCATGCTTATGCTAGTGCTAGTGCTACCCCTAAACTAACCCTCACCCATTTCCCTGCTATCCTCCTCTCCTTTTGCATTTCCACATCAAAAACCCCTTACCCACACTCTGTCCCACTTTATACATTTATCCATCCCTCCTGTCTCTCACTCACCTGCCCTCACTCGAATACCCAACACCTCGTCCTATTTGCCTGCTTGCATTGTGTTAAGAAGTGGCGGCCATATCCCGTGGAACGCCAGCGCCTCTCCTTCCTGCACATGCTCCGAGACACCCTGCTAGAGAAGCTAAGGCGCAGTCGTTCGTTTGGTGACCTGGCCTCACTCCGGCCAAGGCCCAAATCCAGTCTGGAGGTCTATGTGAGTGTGTTGTGGCCCCTCGACCCTCCTAACCTGACTTTTGTGTGCCTTCTACCTCAGTGACATGATGGGGATGGGCACCTCTGCTGGTGTGGACACACTTGGCTTTCTGTGGGCTAAAGAATGCCATGTGTGGCTGTTTGCATGTTTATTTGCATGACATGCTTTGAATTGTGTGTTCCTTGTGGTTTCAGATTTAGCTTACTGTCATTCTATCTTGGTTAAACTGACCTGGCCATAAGAATTTAATGAGACAAGTGGAGTTAGTTTGTCAGAGTATGTCTGCTATCTCTTTTTCCACTTGACGGAGCTTTCTCTTGTACTTTTTTGTCTTCCATGCACTGATTTCAAGCTATATCTCAGTCTTAATCTTAATCTAGTCACACATATTTACCCCCGTCTCTCCTTCCAGTCCACTTTGCCGGATGATGTCTTTGAGAATGGTGGCTGCGGCGTGGCTGAGTGCAAGCGTCTCTCCTTCACCTTCTCCGACACCTCTGGTTCCACGCCCAGTCCCAGCCCCGCCCCAAGCTCCCACTCCCACGCACAGTCCAACCCTGAGATCACAGTCACTCCTCCAGAAACAGACCTATCACCTGCACAAATCCTCCCAACACGGGAGGACTCCATAGCAGAGGAGCATTTAGAGGAGGAAGAGGAGGAGGAGTACGAAGAGGATGGGGAGACGGGCAGTAGAGGAAGTAGGGGCACTAGTGCCAGCCTCGCCAGCGATGAAGCCGAGGTGGCGGAGGACTCTGAGTGGGAGCGAACAGAGTCTCAAAGAAATTCTGGCTCCACCTGTGGTTCGGCTGCCCCGTCTCTCTGTTCTGACGGCCACCTGTCCACAGTGGCTCCAGAGGACGTTTTCTTAGACCACACTGATGAACTGAAACCTGTGGAACTGGACACAGAGGAGGCGGGCAGCCTGACTAGGCAGCTTGTGAAGAGGCTGACTTCTTCGGAAATTATGCCGCCAAGTGGGATCTCCACGGAGGGAGGAGGAAGCCTGAGTTGGGCTGGAGAGGGAAGCAGGGCTTTCCTGGAGAGCAGCCTTGAAGAGGCCATCCACAGCCTGCTGATGAGGCTGGAGTCTCTCACTCACCGCTGCCGAGAGCTGCAGGACCTGGAGCAGGAAGTGATGCGTCTGGAGGATCTGCTCAAGGTGACTAAACCCTTGTCCCTTTCTATTTTATACATGTACAAGATCTGAGAATCAGGGAATGTTACTTTTGACCAAATGTTTTTTTATATATATTTGTTTATTTTTACTTACTTACTATTTTTTTTTAAATGAATTAAATACATTACATAATCCTTAAATCCTTCTCATCACATATTACATAGTGAAAGTACTCTGAAGTTCCTCACCATTCAAGCAAAGATCTACTTTTAAAAAGATGAGGACTAAATATGAGAACTGAACTAAATGCATCATCTTGTTACAAACACCAACAGACTTACTACTGTACACAGGGCTTTTATTTTAAAGACGCTGTCCTCTGTCTTTAAATCTGCATCTGATATAGTCAGGTAACATCTCCAGGATTTGTTATTATTTATTAACCGACCATCTCCTGCGTCTCACCACCCTTTCTCTCCACAGTGTCGACTCCCGGGTCACAGGAGTCGATCGTCCAGCCTCAGTCTGACAGTGGAAAGTGCCCTGGAGAGCTTTGACTTCCTCAACACCTCTGACTTCGATGACGAAGACACTGGAGATGACAACGCTGTCCTCAATATCCAACAGAGGTCTCCACTTTTTGATACAGATGGGGAAAGGATCGGGTGAGTGGACGGAGACGGACGGAGGCACTTTGTGTTGGCTGACATCGACACTAAGAAACATTTTGTTATTGTATCACCGCAGTAAGAGCTGAAGTAGGTGCAGGTACTCGGTGCAGGTTCTTGGTGTTTGGTTTCAAGTCAGTTTAGCTATTGATTTATGAAAGAAAGGGTTTTAAAGGGTTTCTTAAACAGTAAAAACAGTAAATCTGCATTGTCAAGCATCATGGCAGCACTTGATTGAAAGACATTTTACTCTAAGTACGGTAGATTACTGTTCTGTGTGATGCTGCTGCCACTTGGTGTTGACTCGTGGTATTAACCTGCCTTAGGGGCCAGCATCCAGAAGCCAGAGGACACCTGAGCGAAGCCCTGACAGAGGACACCGGGGTGGGCAACAGCGTGGCAGGAAGCCCCCTGCCTCTTACCACTGGAAATGAGAACCTGGACGTGGCTATCGTCATCCACCTGCAGTACTGTAATCATCTTATACAGGTGGAGCTCCTTATCACATCTGACATCATGTTGTAGAGCATAAATAATAAAGGAATAGTTACAGTTGACATTAATTCTGTTTGTCTTACCAGCAGCTTACTGGAACAAACATCTCACATGCCTTTTGTTTCTTCCTGTAATGGTAGATGTTGACCAGTGGGGTGGGTGTGTGGCAGCGTCGCAGTCTTCTCCTTAAACTGTCCGGACAGACTCAGCTGTTAGAGGAGCTAGCAGAGATCAGTGTGGACAGACTTGGAGCAAATACCTCTGCTGCTGATGGTAGGTACCAACAAGTGGGGTGTTATGTGGGTTTCCAATCCAGCGTTCTATCTCAAGAGTAATCTTTCTTCAGAGCAGTCAGTTATTATTAAGTGTTGTATGAAAAGATCTGACCACCTAACCAAAAGGACTTTCTGGTTTAAGGGGTTTGTAGCGTCTGACCTTGTGTTTTGGTCCTATTCTCTCAGTTCTGCCGGGCCTTGCTGAGCGCCCACAGCTGATGACTCTGTGGTCAGAGTGCAGCGGATCTGCAGGACTTTTCCACACCACACTGGACAGAGTGTTCAAACACATGAACCAGCGCTACACAGCAGTGCTGCAGGAGAGAAACCCACAAGACGCCAACACAGGTTGGATCATCTCGGTTTTCTTTCTGCAAACAAGCCAGAGGTCACACTTAACATTTCATCTGTTGTTGTTTGCAACACAGTCTTGTTTCTGTGTTTTTAATTACTGTTAAGCTTCTACTGGGCCACTAATTTGGTTTGCAAATCAGTTATAAATTAGTTCTTTAGGGAAAATGAGAACATTGTAGTTGCTGAACATAATGTGGATGAAGAACATTAAGAACTAAAATTTAACAGACTTTGATTCATTTAAGTGGTGGAATGTAACACATTTAGTTAAGTACATTTATATTTACAATTCAAGGTATTTGTACCACACGTGATTTACATTTTATGAAACTTTATAATACTACTCCACTCCATCTCGCTGCTCTCAGATAAAGGATCTGAATACATCTTCCACCACTGATTATTTTAAAGTATTATATATTAATTAGATCTTCACAATGCAAATGTAGTTCCCGTTGGCAAGTTTTCTCTGACCACCGATTTCTTTCTCTTCTCTCCAGTGATCAGTGTTGTTGTGGGTGAGTTGGTGGACAGGGACGATCTGGTGGCGGCACACAATCCTCCTGCCGCTGCACTCTCCCAGGACGTCCTCACTGTGTTTCAGTTCCACAGCTACATCTTACAACATGAAGTACAGGACATGGAGACACACCTGCTGCATCTGGCCAGAGAGGGTGAGCCAAAAGGGGGCGACACTTAATTAATATTGACTCTTAATTTAATCATGGCCAGTGTGCCTTTCTGCCACTGAGTCATTTAAATCCTCCACTTTTACTCCGCAGAAGGATAAAAAGGAATCTTTCATTTTAGATTTTAGATTTAATGATCTCCACCAAAAAATATAATATTATTTTGTTAAAAAAGCAGATCAGTTAAATCAATTTTCACTTGGATTTTCTGTCTACCAACACCCAAAATGTTCTTTAAGAGGACTTTATGGGCCAGTGTACAGTAGGTAAACACACAAAAGCACTGCTGATTATGAGTCATTGTGAGTAAGGAAGAAAAAAGCAAGAAATGGAGTGTTTTTACATGATTTTGATTGCTTTTTAAAAAACCAAGTTAAACACTGATAAATTCATCATGTCAGTAGTATAGATAATTGCATGACACCCCATTTTTTATGTTTAAATGTTGACCTTTGTCTGTGTCTGTGTTGTAGATGTGTTTGCAGAGGCTCTGTGCAGCGGGGATTATTCTCGCTGTCTAGCAGAGCTGGAGCAGGTGCCTGTGTCGTCCCTTTGGCCTAGAAACAGCACCCTGAGGGCCCTGGCCTCTCTGCTAACTGCAGAGGACCCTCAGGTCAACAAGGCAGCAGCAGACTACCTCTCTTCAGGAGCGTCACGCAGCCACTTCAGGACCAGGGTGAGTAGTGCTAAAGAGACTGTTTGAGAGACCTATGTGTAAACAACATTTTAAATAGCTTTGACAGATGCCGCAAGCCATGTTTGAATGTCTGTGTGTGTCTACAGGCTGTGGAGTGCTACACCCAGGCGCTGTCAGAGGCTGGAGGTCAGAGCCAGAGGGCGGCCTGTTCAGCTCTCAGCTGTCTGCAGGTCAGTGGCCCCTATACTGAGATAAGCTTAACATGCCATATGTACGTTTAAAGAGCTGTTGTCCACTGTTAACATTCCTCCTCTATTTCCTGGCCACGAAGAGATCTCTCCCCAGCCTGACTTTACTGTAAGAGGTAGAGGAGAAAACATACAGTCCTTGTTCTGTGCAAAAAATGCATTCTTAAGTTCACAGTGGAGTGAGACTTCCTGGTAGTTGCATGTAGGTTTGTAGCCAGGACACAACACCAGCAATAAATCTACTCCCAACTGCCAGGACAAAGATAACCACTTGATTTGGTTATTGAGACTGTTTCAGGTTAGCTGCAGCTGAACTTTAACATGTGTTCTTGCACACTGTAAGACAGTATGGATAGGGGGAATGATTACAGTGAACCATTATTCTTTCAATGAACACTACATGTGACATATAGATATTCTATTAAGATAGACTATAAAACTCTTACTGGGTAAAAATTGTATTTCAACATGTCATTGGTTTTTGCTTCTTATTTGAAATGTGACACTTGGAGGAATTTGTCATAAACAGTGGTTTCCTGTCTGTCTGTCTGCAGGCAGTAGAGAGTATCAGGGCGGTCGTAGCACTGTGTGATTCAGCTGATGAAGAGCTTCGCCACGTTGCCATAGAAACCCTGCTCACATTTGGTGAGTAACAAATTAATGGAAATTATTACTCAGCTTGACCTTTTTGTTACACTTTTACAAATGACAATAATTTCTGAACTGTATTTTTTACACAACTGCTACAATGTACCTCACACCATAAAGCATAGATGTATATAAATGTAGTTCGTACAGTATAATACGGGAATATTTAGTTTCTTCAGCCTTCTGTTTTCTTAAAGGTCGAGTGTGAAACATTTAGGAGGATCCATTGATAGAAATAGAACATAATATTCATTGATGTGTTTTAGTGTATAATCACCTGAAAATGAAAATCTACACACGGGTCGCTTTCCATTGAGGCTGCCATTTTGAGCCGCCATAGTTTCTATAGTAGCCCAGAAGGGAAAAAAACAAACACTGGCTCCAGATTGGGCCTTTCTCCTTCACGCTTGGAAGTGGAGGATGAAGCGAGGGAGTTGCAATCTGCAACTACACCGCTATATGCCACTAAATCCTACACTCTAGACCTTTAAGAGCTTGTGATGCACACTGGATTAAACTTTAAACTGGATTACTCTTAACCCTTGGACTGAAAAAGGTTATCTGTCATCAGTGTTTATAGACGACTCTTGTGTTTGTGGCAGGTGAGGAGGGGCGGCTGGCGTACGAACAGCTGGACACGGTGCCGGGGGAAATTTTCCGTCTAGGGACGAGGCGAGGAAACGCCGTCACCACTGCCTTCTGAGCCACCGTGCCAGTGAAAACATCACAAATGACATCTCAGCCCAAGCTCCAAGGACAACACTGCCCCTCAGCTTAACCCCCCACCCACTGCACACCTCACAGGGCTGTTAGTGACTGATCACTTTATTGATCTGCTTTTTGGCGCAGACTTCTCCACACCGCCACATTAAACCACTGTTTTTACTGATACTGCCTCCTAAAAGGAACTAATATCAAACAAACTGTCTTAACCACAACGACACACAACCTATACCCCTCCTGCACGCACACACACTTACACTCCTTGTTCCTCCATCATCTCCACTTTCACACACACCCTCCCCACCCTCCACCCTCCCTTCCTCTCCCTGCTTTCTGAGCCATGCAGACCGGTCACGTTGACTTTAACTGGAGAATAGGATTGGACACAGCCGCTGAAAGGTGCTCCAAAAGACTGGGGAAACTAGAATTTCGAGCAATGCATCTTCATATAACCTCTATCAAGAAGCTATTCACTGCACACAACACTTGTATCACTTACTCACTGATTAATTATCATCTTGATTGTTACAGTCAGTTGTGTTGCGCAATATACTAACTATGATCTTTGTATAATCACTGTTTATCACATGTTTTAGTTGGTGGTTTTGCATTAGGAAATGTTTTCTGGCGCTTTCAGAAGATTTGCACTCCTTGTAAGGCATGTAAATATGGCATATGTTACACAGCCAGTGTAATATATGTGCTTGTATTTAAAATATATTTTTAAGTTCCGTTTTTCTAGTACGTTCCATTTTGAGTTTCAGGGATTCTTGTATGGTTGAAAGACGTGCGTTTTGTGGCAGGGAGGACCATTAATGAGTTGAGAATGGCTTTTAGGAGGAAGTTGTGTGGTTTGAAAGCTCTAGTTTAACAGCAGTTTACAGTCAGAACAGATTTTGACCTCAGCTATCTATCAGAGGAGGAACAGGAAAAACTGAAGGGCAGAGGTGAAACAGATCAGCACAGTGCCCAAGGTTCACTCACTCAGCAGTTTATATCAGAGTTTTCTCATACTTGCAGTTGAACAAGTGCAATTTTTCTGTACATACGTGACTTTTTGCACCTAGCTGACGTGAGAAGACCTTTGATAAAGTCAGCTTTGACCATTTGAGCCTTGATATGGTCGAGCAGGCAGGTTCCACAGATACACTCTTTTGTAAATGTATTTTTCCTACCAGGTACGGAGCCATTCGAGGGCAATAAATATGGTATAGGATCATATACTTTCTCAATAAATGTATAGAGAGGAGCTGAGTAAAGGTGTAGCCTCAGTTTGGGCTAACTGCACATTCATACATTATGTGAGCTAATGGCAGGATTAGAAATTAGGCTTTTTGTTTTTATGAGAAGCTGCAGAATGAAGTGTTCTGTTTGGTATGTTTTGGGTCTCTTTTATTTCCCTGCAACCTAACTGTAATGTGGGGAAAACTGACCCGAGGTAGGCGCCTAATTCCAACTTTTCTCATTGTAACTGTACTACTGAGTCTTGTGCTAGTGCACAGTGACAAAGCTCACATTTGTTCACACATCTTATTTATTATTTACTCCTTGTAATTCTAATATTCTTTGGAGTTATACTGTAATAGTGCAGATGGCATTGTTATGTAAATTAATTGTATATTTATGTTCTATTTTGGAGCAGGTCTGGTATTTGAATTATTGTTTATCATATAAAAAGGCCTTCATGTTATGTTTATCCATGCAAATGATTTCATGCTTAACTTTAACTGGAGTTTATTTTGAATGAATTATATTAGATAAATTATTATTTTGGAGAATATTAAGATTTGCTAATAGTCTAATAGTATTATAGATTGTGTTTCCCCAAAAAGGTCCCAATGGGACATTATATATTAGAAATGTTACTTTATTACTTAGAAGATTTACTGTAACCAAAGGAAAAATTAATTTTAAAACAGTTTTTTAATAAGAGCTCATGATTCATTAAAGAGAATGTATGTAACACAGCGTTTGCATTTGGGCCAGAATACTCAGACCTATCTTTAAAAGCACAACTTAAAAATGAGACAAACCCTTAATATATGAATCTCATCATTTGGTTCTAACTGCACAGTCCAAAAGCCATATTGATTAAAAACCAGTAGTAATATTTTTATGAAATGTATTTTTCCTTTTTGTATTATAATCTGTAAATGTGTGAAGTTGTTACTAAAAGCTGAAGATGGCGTTAGGTTTTTTTTTTCTATACATCCTTTGCAAAACATGGTCCATATTTTAAGTAACGGTTACTTTTATTTCTTCCGAGATGTGAATAGCATTACAGTATTTTGGTAAAGTATCTAATCACCCACTCATTCAGTGTTTATTTTATTTCCCTGAGTGAGCTACTTTCTTTTTACACACTTGCAGCTTACCAGTGTTAACTCAAGTTGATTTGTTGGCTGTTGGATTCCTAATCACCACTAACAAGTTGTCAAAATCTTGAATTATTTAGAGAGTGGTTTTAAGAATATCTTTGCTGAAGTTGATCTTTATCCATTTCTGTGGTCAAGAGCTTCTGTACTGATCCATTTAGTTGCATACTACTCTTCTCCATTGTCAGTATTTCCTCTGTTCATCAAAAGTTGCAATAAAGTTTATTTTTGCATAATTAAATCTACAAAATGTGGGATTTATGCTTTACTTAAAGCCAAGACTGTCTTTGTTTGTTTGTCTTTGCTGATTGGATTTTTACATATATACACTGATAATACTTTAGTATCCTGTATCTGGATCCCTGAAGGGAGTAAGATGAAAAACTGGTTGAGCAGGGACCAGGGTCAAGAGGACTGGAAAATACAAGCTCCTGACACAGCACAATATCGAACTTCAGGTAGTTTCTTGTTTAGCAATGAGTTGCACTTTAAAAACAGTTTTCAGATTAGGATATTGCATACAAGCTGTCAAATAAAAAGGTAAAGCAATATTTCCATATATTTAGACATACAGCATAAAATGGAAATATTTAGGTACAATTGGTTTAATTCAAAGTTATTCTCCAGTACAGTAGTTGAGTTTTCCCCACTGCTTGTCCAAAGTCAGAGGGTCAGAGTTTTCACAATGTCAGCAGGTTATTTAAATCTGAACTAACTAAATGCTTAACTATGTTCAGTTAGTTGCCAACTGAATCTGTCATTTGGAGCTGAGCAGGAAGTGTAGTGTGTTTTACACCTTTTAAATCCAGCTGCCTGCTGTTAAATGACAGAATGGTGAGTGAACCAGAATAAAGCGCTGAGGGCCAGATGCAGTTACAGGTAACAAGTCCCAGACACATCACTACAAATGACCCCCTTCACATTTGAAGCATTACAGTGGCATTAAGCCACATTTGAAGAACAAGACCTAGGAGGAGTGTTGCTCAGAATCTACAGGTGCATCTCAATAAATTAGAATATCATGACTAAGTTCATTTATTTCAGTAATTCAATATTATATAGATTTATTACACAGTAAAATATTTCAAGCCTTTAATTCTTTTAATTTTGATGATTATGGCTTACAGCTAACAAAACCCAAAATTCAGTATCTCAGAAAATTCAGTTCAGCTTCTGCTGATAAGCTTATATGGAGATGCTGATTTCACTTTTCCAGCAGGACTTGGGCCACCTGCCCAGACTTTTGGGGCCAAAACGCTACCTAATACCTTGGTTCACCATGACCCATTGGTTTTTACTGTGGCTTGAGGATCATGGCTTACAACTGGACAGCAAGGTTTTGGGTCCTGATTGCGACCGCAGCTCCTGCCAGAGGGGGAAGTGTTTCAAACAGTTTTGACCGTGGGGCAGGGGGTCAGCCACAATCTTGCCTGCACGCCTCAGTGTCCTAGGAGGGTCACTGCCACAAAGTACCAATACCTGGTTCAGATGACCATGGTTTTACTTCTTTGGATTGGCCAGCAAACCGCCTACCTGTAACACCATAGAGAAATCTATGGCTATTGTCAGAGGAAGGTGGAGAGACACCAGACCAACAATTGCAGATGACCTGGAAGGCTGCTATAAAACAACCTGGACTTCCATAACACCTCAGGCAGTCCACAGGCTGATGTCCTTTCATTGTCCACGACTGCAATTGATGGAATAATCATGCAAAAAGA